TGAGAACTCACCTCTGCACTTTGCTCATCCCTCACGCTGCCCCGCGGTTCCCAGCTCCGTGTCTCTACCAGACCATGGCACAGTTTGGAGGTCAGAAGAGGGGTCCGTGGGACGCGCTGTCAGCAGCGAGACCGGTGCAAAGGTGACGAGGCCGGCACCCTCGTTGCAGGTGTGCATCCCCCCCCATAGCACCCTCTCCCCAGCATCTGCAGAGATCCCCCGGGTGCAAGTGCTCTGCCCTGAGAGAGGGGCCGCTGCCAGGCTGCATCAGCAATGAGCAAAATGCACCCGTCCTGGCTTCTTTCACCCATTCCCTGAGCAACCATGAGAGGAGAACGAGAGCAGGGAAAAACTGCTACCAGAAGGGAAATACAGACTACAGAGAGAAATAGAGAGGAACGGCAAGAAAAGGGAAATAAGGAAAGCAAGGGTGGGAAAGAGGATGGCTGGGTCACTTTTGGAGAAGTGGGGTGACTCTGGAAAGCAAGACTGGGCAAGGGGGGGGCAGGCACCCATCACCCATCTGTCACTCTCCACCATCGCTATGTTCAGGTGATCTGTGGCCAAGAAGAACCAGGGAAAGGTGCAGAGCAACGTGAACCCAAGGCCCAGGAGAGAGCTCAAGTGCAGAAGATGAGAGGGCTGCTCTCTCCAAAGTCCCTGTTAACTCCAACCTTACTGCAGAACATGACCCTCCTGGAGCTGGTGAGCAGCTCACGGGAGTTATGGGATATCCTGGATAACCTGTCTGAGCAGCACCATGCTCCACACCCCAGAGGACAGAGGGACTTGGGGCCAGCCTCAGGCAAGCTTAAAAAAATTTTTGGCTGGGGAGATTTCTATTCCAATATCAAGACAGTGAAGTTGAACCTCTTGATCACCGGAAAGGTGGTTGATCACGGCAACGGCACAGTCAATGTCTTCTTCCGACACAACTCTACCGGGCAAGGGAACATCTCTGTCAGCCTCGTCCCCCCCACCAAGGCAGTGGAGTTTGACCTGGAGCAACAGATCTTCATCGAGGCCAAAGAATCCAAAATCTTCAACTGCCGTGTGGAGTACGAGAAAGTGGATCGAGCCAAGAAGACCACGCTCTGCACTTACGACCCATCTAAGACCTGCTACCACGAGCACACCCAAAGTCACGTCTCCTGGGTCTGCTCGAAGCCCTTCAAAGTCATCTGCATCTACATCACCTTCTACAGCATAGACTACAGGCTGGTGCAGAAAGTGTGTCCCGACTACAACTATCACAGCGACGTACCCTACTACCCCTCGGGATGACGCGCTCTGCCCATCGCAGGATGCCCTGGTGACGAGCGGGTGCTGGGGGGGCGGGGGGAGGGACGGGGACAGTTTTGTAAGCGGGGGAGGGAACGCGGCGGTCCCTAGAAACCAGAAGCAAGGAAGGAAGAGGAGGATTTTCCATTTTCCCCAAAAGCTCCAATGTCAAGAGGAGGAATTTTAGGCTATGGGGTACCAGCATTGCTGAACCTGGCCTGGATCCATGGTCTTTAGAGACTGGTACGTGAAGACAGGGTCTGAATCTAGGATACAGAAAATAGGACATAAACCACAATCAGGACTTGGGTTTCTCAGTGCAATAATAGATTTGCCTGGCTCTGGGCCACACACTCCTAAAAGGTTGGTGACCAGGCA